CATACAATACCAGCACATTGGCAAAATGCTTTTGAAGAGTTAGTTTCTAGTTTCCAACCCCATCATCTGCCTAATGTAGAACCTGAGAGGGTGGTATGGATTCTTTTAGAGATTTTAACTGTGATACCAGAAGAGGTTTGTTTTATCCAATATTTTTTAGCATCTAAGATTTTTATTATTATGTAGTAGAAAACTTTGATTATGACTTTCAAAAATAGACATATATAAATGGCTTCGTATTTAAATTTATGTTTTTATATACTTTGTTTCCTTATTGAATATCAATATTTAGAAAGGGCGATTTTTGGGTCCATTTTAAAAAGAAAACTTCATATGGACTTATCTGTCTTAACTATTGAGATACAGGGTGTTAAAGTTTTCAAAAATAAATAATTTATTATCAACATCTATAATACTACTATAGATATTTTAATGAAATTTAGCATACTGTTTGTTTTAATTTACCACAATTTTTTAGTTCCACAAGTGACGTTGGTTCGGAATTTCACTTGCTTATTTTTGCAGTCATTGATGATACGCAACTGATTTCTCTTAAAATAAAAAATATTCTTGGAATCCCCAATCGGACCATTTCTAAGCAAATTTGACCGCTTGATTTTTTAATCTGATGTACTGTTTTTAACACGCTTTTTGCTTAAAAAAACCGTTTCTCTGCATGCTTATAGCAATATCGCTACTATGACAATATCACCATGCAGAAAAATAGATTTTATTTTTTGTGTGAAAACCGTGCGTCGCACTAAAGTTAAATCAAAAAATAAAATCTCTCATAAGTGAATAAGGATTTCAAAAATACACTTCAGTGTAGTAATCGTACTTCGTATTTTACTTAAGCAGGAAAGAATTATTACTTATAATAATTGTAGTAGGCCGCGGTTTTAAGAATAATTAATTATGTTTTCAACTCGGTTGTCATTTTGTTTGGTAATTAATCAGTTTTTAAATTTGTTCTTCGCGTCTTATTAATTTGATGTTTAAAATACCCCACCATTGTTATTTTGAACAATAATTTTCGAGTTTACTAATGAGGAGCTGGCAGATATGCATTACATGCATGGTTTGGCTGATGACAGAAGTCACTTTAAGGACGCAAAAATTCATACATTGTCGTTTGTCTCCTCTTTTTCTTTAAATCGTATTTCTAATTTAGAAACAAGCTCCGTCTCTGTATCTCCCTGATTTTCTACAAAACTTTTGAGCTTCTTGGTCAGGTAATAGCTTTACCATAATTTGGAATGGCTTCTGTTGGTACTGGAACCTCATCGATATCAGAATCTTCAAAAAGTTTTCGTATTTTAACTGGATTTTCAATTTCTCGGCCTGAATTTGGATCTTCAACATACAAATTTTCATATAGGTTCAAAAAATTATAAAGGTTTTCATTATCAGTCAATTTCGATAAATCCTTATTTTTGAGGATATCTGTAAGTACATTTAAGTGGCAAGTACATTGTCTGGGTCAGGTGTATCAGCCTCATTTAATTGGTCTTCACTTTGCATATTTTCATGTTTCGGCATTGCGAAACCAATTTTGCAATGATTCCTTTTTACGTGGTCCCAAGCGGTTTTTGTCAAATAAACTGCATTCAGTGACGCAATTTTCTTTATTAATTCAGAAGCTGTACCAGCAGTTTCTATGTTTACCAGCAGGTGTTTGAGTCTCTTCAGTAAAAAAATATTTTGTTTTTATCCGGTTTGGAAAATATTCTCTCATGTCCGCGCCGTTCAAGAGAATGTCCGTCCATGAGAGAATTGAAACAGCGCAAATTATATGAGAGTCGGCCGGGACCATGAGAAACTGGCCGTTTAAAGGAAGTGTTCATGTGAGAGGGGTGTTCGCGAAGGGGAATTTTACTGTACTAGAAAAATTGGATATAATCTGAATATCTCGCACGTCTTAGTGTGGAAAATTTGTCACGATTTTTTGTTGTACTGTATCATATTCAACGGGTCCAAGGGTTACTTCCCCGAGACTTTCCCGTAATGTTTGTCAATGGTTTTTGGAAAAAATGCGCATAATCCTTTCTTTAACTGTTAAATAATGTTTACAGATGAAGCTTTTTCAGAAACGCAATCAGAAATGTCCACAATAACAATATTTGTGTCGACGAAAATCCCCACGCAGTTGTAGAATTTAACCATCAAGGACAATTTTGGTTTAATGTCTAGTTAGTTGTTGCAAATCACTTAATTTGACCTTTTCCTGCCAGGATTATCACCGACATCAAGAGGAGGATTTCCCCAAATTTCTAGAAAAGTTATCAATTTTAATTAGAAACAGAATGTGGTTCATGCATCACTTTAGTGTTGCAGCAAGAGAATATTTATTATTATTATTATATATTATTATTTTTAACGATTGATAACTAAACCCAATTAACATAGTCCTAAATATTATTATAGAAAACCCAGTGACATTTCTTATGAAATGAGTATTAATTTATAAGCTTATCTTATCTCTTGACTTTTTTCAGTCTGATGCACAGTTTTCACCTAAAAATATTAAAGCTATTTCTCTGCATGGTGATATTGTCATATTAACGATATTCTTGTCACCATGTAAAGAAACGGTTTTAATTTGGGGATTCCAAGAATAATTTTTATTTTAAGAGAAATCAGTTGCGTATCATCAATGTCTGACAAAACAGGCAGGTGACATTCCGCACGAATGCCACTGGTAGAAATTGAAAAAAAATTATAGTAAAGTTATATAGTCTAGTACATGTATGCCAAAATTCATTTGAACATCTAAGTGGTATCACAAAGTTGTGTATGATAATAAGTACCATATTTAGGAATTGTCGAAAAAATCTGAAACCATTTTTGTATTTGGGTGTCTATAACTTGGAAAGTACTGCTCAGAGTTTGCTGAAACTATGGCGGAAACTTACTTCTATGACAAAAAATTTTTGAAATATCGAAATTTGGAAATATAAAAAATAATCGCTGAATGTAAAAGATTATTAAAAAAGGTTAACCAAAAAAACCTTTATGTAAAAAGTGTAAAATTTTGTTACCTGACAGTCGTTTATGAAAATTTAGCTTTGAAAAGGTGCAAAAACGTTTTTTCACCTAAAATCATCTGCCTTCTCACGCCATTTGCCGAGGAAGTATTGTAATAGCAAAAAAATTCGAATCACAGAATGCTACATCACATATTTCCGTTGGTCTTTCTGTTTACTAATCCTTGGCACGTTCATAGCTTTGAAAACACCGCTCGGATTATGATAGAACCTTGGTATAATGTTAATAATGTACCAAGAATGAAAAAGCTTTGTAACTCCATTTTCTGACGTTTCAGAGACATCTCATTTTATGAAATACTTTTTGAGTGGTAATAAATGGTAAAAAATTAATGGTGGGGGTTGCAGGGGATGGGGGAGGGTATATCTCTCTATATTTTTTGGCGTTAATATATTTATACGCTTCTAACTCCTGCTGCCTACGCCATTATTAGATACATGTTATGCACCTAGATTTCCCCGCCTTTGAGACTTAGAATGGTATAAATATTTTCGATACCCGCGTCGATGGCAACGGAGATGGCACATCCGTTGGTTGGTTACTTATTGCAGCTCGAATAGAGTAAAGAGTGCCGGATTTCTAAAGGGTGTCCAGTGGGAATTTTTCAACTTTAAATTGCAATTCTGGAAATTCTAGCGGCGTGTTGCAAGAGGGAGGGATATCATTCGAAGCAGAGGATTCGCGGAATTGTTGGTCGCCACGAATCATTGTTTGGGGGCATACCACCCATTCGCGGCCGAGCTTTTTGTACTCATTTTAATATTCGACGACTGAATGATGGACCACGCATGCAACTTATTTGGTCGTGGGTAAAAATATTTATGGACGGACAGTTGTCAACGGAACCCTCCGAGACTATCAACCTCAGCAACAATGCCAGACCATGTGTCTCAAGTTGGAAATGAAATTATTCGGAATCCACGTAAATCAATAAGGAAGATTGCGGCCTCTACAGGAATAAAAAAATCAACAGTGCGTGTTATTTTGAAAAAGAGAAATTAAAGCTCTATCCATACAAAATGCAAATTGTTCAGGGTGTCAACGAAAGTGACAATACTTCGCAAGAATAATGCTGGAACGTTTTCGGACATCACACACGCTTGGAACCATTTCATTTAACATAGTGACTAAGCACATTTCCATATCGATGGTTATGTTAGTAGAAAAAAAACATACGATACTGGTGCCCCAACAATTCTAAAGAATGTCATCAAAAACATTTACTTTGTTTAAAAACTACAGTTTGGAGTTCCATTTCAGCCAGCGGGGTAATTGGCCCTTATTTTTTTAACCAAGGAGTAACAGTCTCTGTTCCGGTGTATTGACGTATGATAGACGGGTTTATGTTACCGCAATTATAGCTGTATCCAGGTTACAACAACAAAACGTTATTTCAGCAAGGATGCATACAGCTAGGGTGTCGATGGAAAGGTTAAGGGCAATTTTTTTGTACAAGCTCACTAGGAAGTACAGAGACATTCCGGGGCCGCATTGATCGTCAGACCTCTCGCGATTTCTTTTTATGGGGATGACTCAAATAATAGATTTACAATAACAATCGTCGAACAATTGAGGCCCGACTGTAAAAGTACATTTAGAAAAATTGACAATATTTAGACGTTTTTAAAACATGAAATCCGCATTATTATGCTCCATTTTATCGAAATAAAAATAAATGAAAACAATGTAGTTTCCTACTCTTTGAGAAACAGACAAGAAAACTTGATCAAAACGTAGACGTAAGGTATATACAATATCTAGACATTAATTGGAATGAGTATCATTTCCAATTTGAAAATAAGTGTTATGCCTGTTGATGATTTTTACATATTTCGTAGTTTCAAAGTACCACACTTGCTCTAAACCAAAGAAACAGAGTGAGAACGGTCCTGCAGGATGTATCGAAAGATATTCTCAAAGTTGTTGAGATGTGTTTGATGCCAATGCCTAATGCAGGGTAAGAACTATTGTGATACCATATCCTAGTATATTCGATATTCTATGTTTCCATTCATTTTAGTTTGAACATGTCAAATTTGACAACATATTTGAATGCTTCAAAATGTGCTGCTGCTTGGATACAACTAGGAGGACTCAGTATTGATGAGTGTGTAATTATTATTGACTTATTACTTGACTTAACCTGTTTTGTTTACTGGTAAGCATACTTATAATGTATAAATATTGATTGAAGCTAAACTATTTAATCGACTGTCTTACAACTTAGAATAAAGCTTTACCAAACATCATACAGTTTGTGTAACTAAGTCTAAAACATCTGATATGAAAAATTACTAACAATTCTTGTGATTATTAAAAAATGCAAGAAAGATGATTGTAATTTTACTACACATTTGAAATAGGTTTGTGGATAAAATTGGGCGACTTTGGTCGATAGAAGGTGGCCCAACGGAAAGGTCGCACATCCATTTGCGAATCTCTGTTTAGCATCAGCCCTTGTTGACTTCATCTATAATTAGACCCTTTGAAAATAATTTTGAACGTCTACACTAAAATATGAATTGGACACATTTGTCTAGAAGCTTTACAATAAAAATCATCAGGCATCAATTGGATAGTCTGGCAATGCTTCTGAAAATAAAGGCAAAATGTGTTTACATTTTCATTGTTTGGCAGTGTGATACAAATTGTCAACGTCAAAGCAAAGCATCAAAAAACAGGATAGGTTTCTATCGTCGCGTTCCCGTGCACATTTGCTGGAGCAGTTCGTGAGCGTAACACTCCAGGTGCATACAACTCTGAATTCAAAAGCACTGAAAAGAGGCTCTGTACAGGATACAACTTGTCCATGGGCTTAATGAAGACTTTTTTGATAGAAGTTTGGAGTTTTGCGAATTAATGTCCCAACGTTCAATCAACAATGCAAGTCTGTTATTTAATATTTGTTTCTCGGATGAGTGAACGTTCTATTTACATGGTGCTATCAATGGATATAATTGTCTATATTGGAGTGACTCGAATCCACATTTGTTTCGAGAGGTAGACTGGCAATATCTTGACAAAATAAATGTGTGGGCCGGCATTTTCGGAGATATTGTAGGAGCTTTCTTTATTTCTGGAAATTGACGGGCGAAGCGTACTTGGACGTGTTAGAAAATACAATAGATCCACGAATTACCGAAATAATAGAAAATGACGATAATTATAATTAAAATTACATTCATTTCCAACAAGATGGTGCACCGCCGCACGATGTCGCTCCAGTACGACAGTTTTTGGACACTCATTTCCCGAATCAGTGGATCGGCAGACGAGGCCCCATCGAGTGGTAGCCGAGATCTTCGGACCTAATTCCTAAGATTACTTTCTTTGGGAGGATTTGAAAAGTAAAGTTTTTGGTACGAAACCAGATTCTATTAAAGATCTTCGTCAGCTGATTACGGCTGAATGTAGACAAATAACTCAAGACATGCGTGAAAATGTGAGGAATAGATTCGAACAAAATCTTTATTATTGCTTGGAGGTAAATGGACACCACTTTCAACACTTATTACCACTACCACTACTTCTCTATGTCAAATTAATTGTTACTTTAATTTTAACATGTGTCTAAACTGCAAGTTGTTTTTTGTTTTTTTCAATACTCGGAGACTTGTTTTTAATTTTTAAGTAATATCTTGTTACTATAAGAACTATATTGATTATTACCACAATTTCTAGAATTTTATTATAAACTCAACTACTTCACAACGATTGAAGATAGGTATAAACACTATTATACAGAAGTTACTTCTTGGAGAATCTAAGGATTTAAAAAAATTCAGGATTTCCATTTAAAAATCTAAAGTGTAACGCAATATCTTATTTTTGAATCACCCTGGATTGTACGGCTATAGATGAAAAGACGACCCTAGAAATCAAAATTGACTTGTCTGGGCGTTTTTTCCCAAAATGTACCAGGAGAGTCACAAATAGGTGTGTGACCTTTTCGTTGGGCCACCCTGTGGATATACGTCACATTCGTTACTATTATGATACATCAAAAGATTTCTTAATACCCTGAAAATGTTCAGATTCTGAGAACGGCAAAACTGACAGTCACAAACTAAGGCCCGTATCGTCAGTCGTCCCTACAATAATTGTAGGGCGCGTTTATGGCCTCCTAGATTTCGATAATATTACGTCTTCTTCGTTGACGTACATGTATGCCCTGCTTTACATTTTCGACATACTGACAGTTCTGGCTTGAGGTTATGTTGTTGTTTTGATGTTCAAGACAAATGACAGCAGAACCATAATTTATAATTTTCTTGCAAATAATGTCGATCACTCAAAAATACATCGCTACATTGAACAAATTCCACAACCTGTGGTATGTTCAAGAAATTTTTGAGTTAGGAAAATTAATGAACATGGATATATTATATTATAATATAATATTTGTGTGTATGAAAGTCCAGTAGCTTACAACCAAGCTATTCTCTTGATGAAGGTTGGTAAGTTACAAAACAAATCATTGCATATCCATATTATATACTTATCGCATTATTTTCAGGTGTGATTCATTCTCACAGACTTTATGATATGGTTCCTCCATGGATAAGAAACATTGTATGGCAAGTGCAATTATTGCATTGTCGATGTCAGAGATGCTTTTTCACAAACCATTGTGGGTCTCTAGATTGTGTAGAGTGTCAGGCACAAGTATGTATAATGTGTGTATGTGAAGATCATAATTACTATTATTGACCATCGCTATTTCAGGGTCATGTAGGATTACCAAAAATGAAGTGTTACAGAGAGTAAACAGAAGAATAGAGTTGCAGCATGAAGCAAAATCAGAAAAACTTTATGACAATTCCATAATTAATTACGAATGGGAAAATAAAAGAAAATTGTGACTCATCAAGGGAATTAATTTCCTGTTAAACAAACTCTAAACAATTCAAACAACTAGATAAGCGGAAAAGACCCATTATGTTGAAAATTGTAGTTACCTCAAAGTCGGACTGTGTTAAGCCCTAATAGGTAGTTTTAAGATATTTTGATTGCATTCATAATTCACTCATCATTACAGGTAGATAGATGTTGCAAGTATCAAATTAAAACTCCCAACTTTATCATGAACTTAACATGTAAGACTCATTTTAGGCCAAAATGAACTTAACCTAACCTGGCTCTGAGGTACAGAATTTGATTTGTACGCGCAACACATTTGAGAACCCCCTTCCCAGGCATAACAAAGCTCCTCTTGAACAATAGCTTTTAACTTTTATGAATATACAGGCTTATGCCTAACTTAAATTTACAAATTGCATGTCAGTCACAAAAGCAAATTCACTTATTTCAGTAAGGTTGGCTCCTTTAAACATGCTTTCAAGTGCCTGGATGCATGAATCCATTCTTATAGGTCGTCTACACGGGCCATAGAAAATGCAGATTTTTTAAAACATTGCCGGGTTATGTAGCCGGGCAGCATGGCCCAGCAACTGAATTTTTACATATTGCCAGGCCACATTCTGGACGAGTATGTCCGGACATCGTTCTGCAACATATGGCCATAGCAAATTTGCATTTACACTAGACAACATTCACACAAATAGTTGCTTTATCACCCTGGATGATCTAGTGCTTATTGCGGCTGCTATTATTGTGTTAAAAAGAAACCGAACACTAAAAAAAGAAAAAAGTTGTGGGTTAGGCCTTATAAGTAAAAGGCTTACTTTACAAAATCTAAGTGAAGAGTTATCTCTCGACAATTATTTATTCAAAAACTTTACGAGAATGGATAAAACTGATTTTGAATTTTTACTAAATCGAATTGGACCGAATATTCGAAAGCAGGATACCAACATGCGAACAGCGATATCAACTACGACAAGACTAGCTATAACACTAAGATACTTGGCAACTGGTGAGAGCTTCAAAAGTTTGATGTATTTATTTAGGGTGTCTGATTCAGCTATTTCACTGATAAATAATCGCAGAAGTATGCAGAGCACTGGTGATAGGATTAAAAGAATTTATTCAGGTGAGTTAATATTTTTATTTATATTACTTCATCAGAAACAAAAGATATGCTAACTTAATAAAAGACACTAGCTAGATAAATTCGCTAGTGTTTTTTATTTAGTTTCGTCTTGTGAGAGTTTCTGCAGATTGAAACAGGGGAGGATCTTCGCTGCAGTAAGATTCCACCAGTGTACGATAGTTGGAAGCAATCGAAATATGTTTATACAAAACATTGTCAACATCCCACAATTCTGGACGTAAATATATAGCGTTAATTAAATGTAAAGTCCTTTCGTTAGTCCAATTAGTCATTTTAAATTAAGAAAATTCACCACAAAACAACACTCGAATGTTGCGCGGCTAAACAAGTGAAGCGAGACAAATACAAAGATGGCTGAGCCATGTTGCTGAAAATTCGCAAAGCGGTCGATCTCTCGGCCACTTGCCGGCCAGTGTTGCCGCACTAAAGAAATGCCAGGATATATTGCTCGGCCATATTGCAATATTTTGGTTATATTGCCGAATGTGGCTGGCAAGTTGCGAGCCATCATCCGGCCATATGATGCCGCCTACAAAATGCCGAAAATTATGGCCCGTGTAGACGACCTATTAGGAAGATCATTCGACTCTTTATCCTTCCAAAATAGATACCTATAGTCAACGCCAAACAAAGTGGCGTGCACGTCATCAAGGTGGGTGTGTTGAAAAATTTACATTGTTGCCAAACTTTTTGTAAAATAATAAAATTTATTATTTACATATCTAGGTTTACAAGCAATATTAACCTCAAATGAGAACAAAAATAATAGTATAATAAAATTATAGATCTGTACTTGCATAATCATTAAGTATGACAATTATTGATCAGATGACACTATGAAACTACCATATTTAATTGATAGCTTAAAGGTACTGAATAAAAATCCAAATGGAGTCCTCCAAATTTTATGCATGGTATTTATTATATACAGAATTCATACAGAAAAATGCATTCTAAAATTAGGTAAGCTACTGGTGTAAGCTGTTTCTGTACAATAAAGTTAGTCGGAGTTTCTTTCTTCAGCGCTGTCTGAATCTGAATCTTCATCACTCTCAAAGTTGATTATTAAAGGTTCGATGTCTGGTCGATCAAAAATTCGTTCTCTTTCATACCATTTAAAAATTTCTTGCTCAGTATCTCGAACACTATTTTTCCACATGTCTGGGGTAACCGTTTGTAGAGCCTCGTTCCACATATCCAAACAGTATTTTTCACTGTTACCATCTCTACCAATATGTCTGTTATAGTAACCTTTTGCTATGCCCCAAATTAACTCAATAGGGTTAAATATACAATGGTAAGGAGGCAGACCAAGAACTTTGTGCCCATGTTGTTCCGCCAATTCATCAATCACGTATATTTTAGGTGGTTTGTTTCTAAAAAAGCAGTTATTTTAAGAATAGGAATAAACAAAAGAAATATAAACTGTCGACCAAAATATATATAATTAAGAAGCATTATGTACCGAGCAACAATACTCAATAGCTCTGTTTTAAACATTGTGTTTAAAAATGGTATGTTTTGATTTGTCAACCAGTCTTGGATATTTTTTTTTGTCCATGCATTGTTGGGCACTTTGTTCAATATCATGCTGTGATAAGGGGCGTTATCCAGTATAATCATAGATGGACTCTCCAATTTTTCTAATAACTGATGTTGAAACCATTTCAAAAAATTGTCCTGGTTCATCTCTCCATGGTAATCGCTCAATTTTGTTTTCGAAGAAAATATCGCTTCACTACCCTCAATAAACCCATTTTCATTTCCAGCATGTAATATAATGTATCTAAAATATATTAGTTTTAAATTTTATAGTGCAAATTGTGTAAAAGTACATACCTTTTACCATCTGTTTTAATAGCTTTCACGCTTTTTTGGTTTCCATTTTGCCAAGAGCGACCTATGGTCCCATTTTGAAATATCCAAGTTTCATCGAGGAAGACAAACTGGTATAAGGCCTCAACCTTGGCTTGATTGTATTGCCTTAGAAATTCCACCCTTTTCAAAGCTATACTTGGTAGTTCCATGAGCCCTCGTCGCGGATTGTCCTTAAAGACGTGGCACTACCATCAAATAATGCCCTATCTCTTAATCGAGACCATAAAGTTTGTATCGTAACTTGTTCTTCTGAAACCATGTGTAATATGACATTATAATTTAGTTAACAAATTAATGCAAATTTCTGATAAGTTATTATAATAAGATCTTACTTTTGTGATACATATTATAGATCACTTCTCGAATGGCACTTGTATCCAATGTCGCTGTGTTGGTTACACGTTTAATATAACTCCGCTTTTTCTTGGGCGATTGTAAATTTGCATCACTTTTCACACCCTCGGAAATACGACTAACTGTCCTTAAACTAATTTTTAAAGCAGCAGCAACACGCTACAAAAAATGAAATAAAATTTCACTATTATTAATATACATTACATATAATTATTAGTAACCTACCTCTTGAACAGCATTTAAAGGCAACAAAGGCCCGTTGTTGTCCCTTTCTTGCTCAAAGTAGTGCATTAACGAGGCCACGAGTTCCTTACACCGACTATTTAACTGTTTGGGCATCTTTATATACCAAAATTGCCTTTATCTACTCGTAAAATGAATAATTTTGTTTTGAAACAAACAGTTGTTGATTTACAGTATGCGGGGCCAAAGGATTTATAAAGATTTGAAATGCCACAAATTGATTCAGTGTCAAAATTAATATAAATGTCAGTTCCCAGTTTAAATAAGTTTCAAGGTGACAATGTGTCAACGCTGCGAAATCGGTTTAGTGCGTTTACATGTCGATAAGTGATTGGAGCGTTTGCAAAACATTTTATTTCGCATAATGCGTCTAAATTTATCAGAAAGCAACTTATGTGATATTTTAATAACAATGTTTATATGACTATTAACCATAATAAGAGAGTAATGACCATTTTACAATTTATATATCACATTAATATGAAACTGCAATAGAGCAATTGTTTGTGATAGAAACCTAGGCATTAGGTCGGGGAATTTTTATCGTGATGACGTGCACGCCACTTTGTTTGGCGTTGACTATATGTAGTTTTGTATGCGATATCACGATGGTTTATATCTGCAAAAAAGATGCATAGATTCAAGACACATTAAAAAATTTACACCTTGGTGTACAATTTTATAATGATATTTTTCTGAAACTTATAGGCTAAGGTTCCCACTAATATAAAAAAAATACCAGATAGGGCAGGGCATGTTTAAACTCAATTTCAGAGCATTTACACATTATACATACTAGTAGCCTGACACTAGGCAATCCAAAGTCTGACAATGATTTGTGAACAGCCATCTCCGACATCAACAATGCAGTTACACTTGGGATCCAATGTTTCTTACCCAACATCTCATAAAGTCGTGAGAACGTACCACATCTGAAAAAAATGAGTTAAGTATATACAATGAATATGCAATGCTTAAAAATTTTGTAACTTACCAGCTTCATCAAGGAACAGCTTGGTTGTAAGCTGTAGGCAAATATATACTAAGTGACATATAAATCCGAACACCCAGTTTAAATGGTTTTATTTTAATAAAATTTTGTATAAGTACTAAAGAAGCATAATAAGTAAATGATAAAAATTTCAAAATGATTGCACTGCTTCAAAGCCCTTTGACCTTTAATAATGTGTGGATGCACCCTGATGTGCTACGCATTCTCCAACGCGCCTAGGCATGCTTCTGATCAGGTGGTCAATGTCCTTCTGTGGTATCTCATTCCAGGCAACCACCAACTCCTCTCGAAGTGCTTCTAGAGTCTGAGGAGGACGTTGCAAATTGAGCAATCTCCTACCCATCATATCCCACACGTGCTCAATTGGGGATAAGTCGGGAGATCTTGGTGGCCATGGTAACAATGTGACATCATTATGTTGAAAGAAGTCTATTGTGACTCTTGCAACATGTGGTCGGGCATTATCTTGTTGGAAAGTTGGATCTGCCAGGGTGTCAAGATAGGGTAAAAGATGGGGTTCTAGAACTTCGTGGATATAACGCTGTGCGTTCATGTTACCTCTGATGAAGATTAAAGGTGACCTGGAACCATAAGCTATAGCACCCCAAACCATAACTCCAACAGTGTGATGAACATGTCTTTCAACAAAAAACTGTGGATTCCTCCTTTCACCACGTCGCCTTCTAACCCTGGCACGACCATCGTGCATGCCTAAACAAAATCGAGACTCGTCACTAAAGACAATACTGTTCCATTCCTGATCCCAGAGTGACCGTTGTCTGCACCACTCAAGGCGATTACGTCGGTGTTCTCGAGTTAAAGGGAGGACCCAGTGTGGCCGGTATGAAAACAAGCCAAAACTTCTCATTCGTCGGTAAACACTTCGCATGCCAATAGGTCTTCCGTGTTCTGCAAACCATTCATTTGCAATGGACCTGGTAGTGGAGAAACGGTCCCTTAAGGCCAATAATCTTAGGCGGCGATCTTCACGGTCTGTTGTTCTACGGCGGCGTCCAGTGCCCCTTGCTCTTTGCGTACGGCCTTCTCGAAGCCATGCCTGACAACACCTAACCACAGTGTCTACACTTCTTTGCACTCTAACTGCAATTGCCCGAAAAGAAAGTCCAGCTTCCCGAAGTCCCACTATACGGCCCCTATCAAACTCACTAAGTTGACGAAATCGTACAGGTCTGCGTACTCTAGGCATCGTAACCGATCATAAAGGATGTCAAGAACCAAAATCCGCCAACGTTGATTCTTTACTGCGGCTGAAATATTCATTTTTAGAGCGTTAGTGAATTAAAAAAAAGCAGTATAAAATCCGGAATGTCCAACTGATAATGCTGAAAATTTTTTCACTTGTTATTTACAGTAAGATAAATACATTCACCAACTTTTATTAAAATAAAATCATTTAAACTGGGTGTTCGGATTTATATGTCACTTAGTATATATATAAATACACATCAATTTGCATTAAATTGTTGATTTTAGATCATTAGTATCAGATATGGGACTTGAAGATACCACAGCATGACGAAATTGTTCAATGTAGGAAATTATTATTGAATGATCAACATTATTTGCAAGAAAATATCCTTCGGCATTTGATTCTTGTCTAAAATTTCAGACGTCAAAAAAGAAACATAACCTAATATCACAATTGACTTCTGATTGACAGCAGACTAGAAATGAAAAGCAGGACATACATGTACCTTATCGAAGAAGACTTCATATTATCGAAATCAAGGAGGCCATAAACGCGCCCTACAATTGTAGGGACGACTGACGATACGGGCCTAAATCGGCCAATTGTTTTGGATACATGCATGAGATGCTTTTTAGTTTTTGATTGTCAAATTGAATTATTATGGACTATTCATTCGGTTATTATATCTCCCTATGGGAGGACAATAGTAACTTTTTTCATAGTCTGGTGCATATTTTGAGTTTATTTTTAGGAATAAAACAGATCCTGATGGTTTTAATGCCTGAAGAAATGGATGTAATGGAAACTGCAGTTGAAGCACTCACTGCTATTATACAACATCCCCATACACATAGATACAAAAACAATGTAACAAAATATGCCGCCAATATTTGTATAAATTTGATAAAATACTGGCCGCAGAAAGAAGTTTACCAGAACTGAACAAGGTAAATGAAGCAATTTGATGAGTAACTGCACACTCATTTTGTGTACTTCTTACCAATATATTGCGCAAATTAGCTGCAGTAAACCTACAACCCATGCTGTTCTGAAAAAAAATGACCATATATTTTTTTATTCCAGGACGTTGTGGCTATACTTTATGGATTAATTATTACTATTGCGGACTCACATTCAAAAATATTTATAGAAAATTTGAAATCTCAGAACCAGGAAGAGCAGCGTATTGCATTTGATTTATTGAATTCAATTTTGAAGTGCACCAACCTACCCGGATTGTACCCTGTAGATGAATCAAGCAGTACCTTAACTTTTGGGTTTTGGTATACCTTACAGGTAGATATAGTAGTATTAGATAAACTCAAAAGATATCTTCAATATAATTTATATTGTGACAGACGAATATAGTAGTAATACATAAATTTCAAACAACGTTCACATGGCATGCCAAAAGAAAAGTAGCATAGTTAAAGTACCGCAATAAATATGAATATAATGCAGTGCGAACTAACAGTGTTTGTTACACCACACTATAAACAAAAACATGATAAAAATACAAGTTCATTATGACTAGATTATATAGGCAATAAGCTAACCAGTATTTTTGTTATAGTAGTGATTAAAGTCAAAACACGAGTAAAACAGCTACTTGTTAAACCACTATATAAAAAATTTAAAATAAAAACATATTGCTTCCTGATTCGGAAAATTTAAAAATTATTTTAAAGAGTAAAACATTTCTCACTTAAATACTCAAAAACCTTATTTTTAAATTTGATATAGCTCTCGCAAATCCTCAGGTATTATACAATTATATATTACACAATGATGTGTAGTTGAGTTGGGTAACTTTGTACAGGGTGACCCATCTATGTGTGGACGGAATATTACTCATAAACAAATACATTTTGGGAAAATCTGTTTATGGGATGTTATACATGACATTCGAGAGCACATTTCTAAAATATTGGCCATTATACAGGGTGTCCCAGTTTCGACCTACATATCAAAGTTGTTATTTTTCAAATGGAATGCGTCAAATTTTATTGCATAATTTGGATAAACCTATTCAAAAGAAGAAAATTGATAACATACTATAAGGTTTTGGTAATTAGCTACCGAGATATAAGGTGTTTTGTCTAGAAAAACCCCCCAGTCCGCCATTTTGAAATTTGGAGTGCTGGATTTTATATAAAAAAACTTACACACCTCAGCTTTTATCTTATTGGTTACTTTTTTCGAATTTTAATTTTTGCTCATACAGTGTGGTCAAAACGCAAATTGTAGTTTTTCTCAAAAATTTCATATGCATCACCATGTATATTTGTGCAAGTTTGGATTCAATTTTTTATAAGCTTTCTTTTGATAATAGACTCATAAGGGTTTTTACGGATATTTTTTCGGTTATTAGCACGTCTTTCATGGAACGGCTTAATCCCTAAATATAATTGGAAACAAATAAATTGTTGATTAGTTACAAACTGTAAAAATTAGCTTATGAGCATTATAATAAAAACGTGTTTGAAAATGAATTTTTATAAAGAAAATGGTGAATATGGTGTTCGTTCCTAGCATCTCGCATTTATAAGCAACGGTACCCTAATATGCGACATCCAAGGGCGGAAACACTACGAGAACGTTTGAATCAAATGAGGCGAATCGGTTGGAGATTCTATTAAAGTTGCAGGAAAATCCCCATTTAAGTGCACGGCAAATTGGAGCAGAAACATATATATGCAGAACTTCTGTCCAAAGAATTATTCACAAGCATAGGTACCATCCATATCACCTATGCTTGCATCAAGGCCTTCGTCCTCAGGATTTCGCAGCTTGAATGGACTTTAGTAGAATAATGCTAAATCAAGTGAGTGAATACACTACTTTCCTGGATAAGGTTCTTTTTAACGATGAGCCAACTTTTAACAGCATAGGTGTTGTCAACAGGCATAACATGCACTATTATGCGACGGAAAACCCTTACTGGGTTAGGCAAATAGATTTCCAAAATAAATGGAGCTGGAATGTTTGGGGAGGAGTTATTTGCAGACAAGTTATCGGGCCTTTCTTTTTCGACATCAGATTAACAGGTACGGAATACTTGAATTTTTTGATCGAGTATTTGCCTTTGCTTTTGCAGGATGTCAACCTGCAAACTCGGATGCATATGTACTTCCAACATGACGGCGCACTTGCGCATTATCATACCCGTGTGCGTAACTATTTGGACACCTGGAGCAACAATCGTTGGATCGGTCGCGATGGGCCTATATCTTGGCCTCCTAGATCACCAGATATGACACCGATGGACTTCTTTCTATAGGGCTACGTTAAGCAAGAGGTTTCTAGGTATCCACCATCTACCCCGGAAAATATGAAGGAAAGGATTAAGGATGCTTTTCTGAACATAAGGGAACACATTCTGAGGGATGTTCAACGGTCATTTATCCAAAGACTACGGCTGTGTTTTGGTAGATTAGATCTTGATTAGTGATAGTTGTTTGTTTATGTATTTCTCTATCACACTTGAAGCTGATTTATACTGTTCTGATTGTTACTAGTTTTTACGTCAAGTCTCTAGTCTTAGTGGCAATTTGGAACTAGCCCACTGTTTGTCTTTTGTTTCCATGGATGATGTGATTTTTTCTCCTTAATTTTGGTGTGTTTTTAAAAGCTTAATAACTGAAAATCTAGTGATTTTATCTGAATCAAACCTTATACCAAAAAAGGCTTATAAAAAAATTGAATCCAAACTTGCACAATTATACAGGGTGATGCATTTGAAATTTTTGAGTACAATTCGCGTTTTTGACCACCCTGTATGAGCAAAAATTAAAATTCGAAAAAGTAACAAATAAGTTAAAAGCTGAGTTTTGTAAGTTTTTTTGATACAAAATTCAGCACTGAAAATTTCAAATGGCGGACTGAGGGTTTGCCGAGGTGGACGGTTTTTTCTTACATCTCAGTAGCTAATTACCATAGTATATCAATCTTCTTCTTTGAATTGGTTTATATAAATATGCAATAAAATTTGAGGCATTCCATTTAAAAAATCACAACTTTGATATGTAAGTCAAAAGGTCATGTATAACATGCCATAAATAGAGATTTTTCCAAAATGGTATTTGCTTATGAGTAATATTCCGTCCGCACATGGATGGGCCACCCTATATCTATATATATATATATATATATATGTCTTACAATTATTTAGTGAAAATAAAATAAGAGTATGTAGTGATAAATGATTGGTAAAAAAAATGGTCGCCTAGAAAAAGCCGACGAACCACCCCCTGTCTATTGGAAAAAATCAAGAAAACTGAAAAATTAGTGTTGTAACTTTTGTAAAATCTTAAAACAACTTTAAGGTCGTTCGCCTCAAAATCGTATTTTCCCGGTGTATTTGATCAAAAATGAGCGTTTTACAGGATCCATAGCATTCTAGATCGAAAAATTAAAATGACTTTATTTGTCAAATATTGAGAAGTGAGGCGTTGTTGAGTTCAGAATGTCATTCTCGTTCGAAATAAGTAAAAACGTATAGTGTTTCCTATGAAAAAATCGAAAGGTGGAGTCGTTGCTGGTCAAACCGAAAATAAGTCAAAGCAAGTGAATATGTCCAAAAATGTAAATTCATCTAACACAGGGGTTCCCAAATTGTGCGACGCCCGGGGCGGCCGTAGGAAATAAAGAGGGGCGCCGTGAGTCGATCCTCTATCTAACATTATCGAAACTACAAATATACGCGGGTCCCTCTTGATTACATAGCGTCCTAAAATCCATTTTTTCGACCATAATGACAAGAGATTTAAATTGCAACAACAATAGGTATACTTTATCTGAAGTCACTGAAACACTGTGAAATACCGGGTCCGTTTTATATATCTATATTTAACACGCTCTGTTGCTGCAAAAATCGCCAAATTTCGCAGCAAAATATAATAGATCAAAGGCAGTTTCATCACCGGTCCACGTGGAGTAAAGCACGCCTATGCGTGGACATAGCCAATGAGAAAGCGTGTATTTCAGAGCTCGGAACAAGTGCAGGTGGCTACTGAAAATTGAAACAGTTTAGCCAGTGCCGTGTAGCGGTGAATAAACGTGTTTTTCTTTAGTCTGTCCGTGTTTTTTCATAGATTTTATTAGTTTGTGTGTTTTTGACTTTTGAATACTCAGTTTACTTGTTGATTTAATTGTTGTGTTGATTGTTCTTGTGTGTCCTAATATGGCTCTTTGGAGACCTTGGGAAAATGCTCCAAGCCACGAGGAGATGGTTGATGAACCTGTGCAGGCAGAAATTCTTTCATAAAGATTTAGAGGAACAGACCCAAAGAGTAATCCTAAATATGTATGATTGTCTGAAAAACGAAAATCCAGATTCCTCGCAAAATCAAATTTTAAAACAGAATTTGTATCCTGACAAAAATCAGTCGGTCTACCATTTATCGGGTTATAAAAAGGGGAGATGTAGTCAACCATTCCTTCCACAGAAAGCGCATAGGGCAAATTAAAAAGAATAGACGTGGGTTTTCAGGAAGATATTCGTCGTATAATATACGGATTTATAAAGAAAATTTGGTGCCACGTTGGAAATGATACGGGATAAATTAAAAGATTATCCTGAAGATTTTTATAATTACAATGCTTAGACTCACTGCACTGTATTGTAAACTGTGTGGTTTTCAATACAAAAATTAGATAAAAGAATGGTGATTATGGAGTCGTCTCGAATCGTTGAATTGCGCCAAGAATTTTTGCACAAAGTTAAAATCTATAGAGAGCAGAAAATAAATCTGATTTACCTGGATGAAACGTGGTAATGATACCCATGATGTTGTGTAGTACGGCTGGGTTGACGACAGCAACAAGTGCATATTTAAATGCACCATGCAACCGTGGAAAACGAATCATTATTCTCCATGCTGGCAGTGAAAATGGATTTATACCTAATGCCTTGCTGTTATCTGCCAAAAATATCAAAGAATCATGTGCCGACTATCATGAGGACATGACCTCCGACTTATTTGAAAAGTGGAATAGAGCAGCAGTTAATACCAAACAGTTTCCCCAAATTCAGTGATTATTATGACAATGCGCCATACCATTCCCGACAGAAAAACAAAATTCCGAATACAGGCACAAAAAAACAAAGACATTATTGATTTTATGAAGGATAAGGGATGGAAATACCACAAAATCAACCAAAGCCATATTATTGGATCTTATTAAAGACAAAAATGTGAAAAGAGTATGTGTGTTGACAATCTGCTTCAGCAAAATGGCCATGAAGTATTACGTGTACCTCCCTATTACTGCATTTTTAACCCGATTGAGTTGGTC